AAATAATTCCAAACAAAAAATCCAAAAGAGATCATACAAAAGTGAGTTTTCCAAAAAATAGACTTGTTCAAGGCCCTTTAATTTGAGTTATGTGGACCGAAATCAAAGCATCGGCATGGTCATGGCCTATTGGAATCTTTCAGAATCCTCACTCCTCTCGTCAAACCATCCTCGGGTGATCAAACGGTCCCTGGGGAATGGYATGCAGAGCATGTGTCTGATTCGTTCATCCAAGGGAATGCCCGACCAGTGAACTGGTAGATGAATTCGAGCTTCAAATGCTTCCACTAAGTGGGCCTAATCCACTTGATGTGGGCAATGCATTGAAAATGAAGACCTCGAGTTCGAGAATTATAATTTACACCGTCGAGGAAACAATGTTGCTATCACGTCGATCTGTAGGTGTATCATACATATTGGGTTCTTCTTGTAGAACACATCCTGTCATTCAAACTCTATGGTATTGAACGCACGGTACAGAGGATTAAAACCAGCTGTCTGCTGTTATTMCTGCATGTATGGGACTTTATTATAACGACTAAACGTTACGGCTTGTTGGCTTGCATTTGAATGGTTAAGGGTTAGAGGGCACAGCTGCTGGACAAGGATATCGTGGTCGCATTCCAGTTTGACWACCGCATCTAAGTGGAATGCGTATTAATTGGAAGAACTCAGTGTCCATGCTGTCCACAAAAATACGGGTGATGCGTCATTATCTCTAGTGTTCATATAATCGTCCGAATCGCCCCCAAACACGTTTTTRCATTGTACTAGTTGCGTCAAAGGAATTAACTGCAATGGAAGCATTTTGTGTTTTGGAATGGATTGGGGCGACTCTATGGACACTAAGTCTTAGAGAACCGATAGACTAAATGATTACCAAAAACAATATAGATTGCCATGTGATTATGGCATTCGCTTATGCTACGTACGAACGCATCAAAGCGCTTTTCAAATGGCAACTTTGGKGGAAGGCATTGCCTYAMTGAGAGCCTGTTCATATACGTTTTGTACATGGTTATTTGGAATACCTGTTTACAGTGGTGGACCCTTTCTAAGTACAAACGCTYACGAATAATATMACTTACCGTTGACAATTRATCGTGTCGACTCTTCCACGAGAGTCCGTGCGCGGACAGGCTCCAAGACTTTGCAAGCCACAAAGTTGTCTTTCCAAAAACTCCTYGATGCGATTTGGACGAGGCTTCGTAATCGCATTAGAGAATTCACTTAATATAAAACATATTTAAGAGGGAGAATATGATGAAATAGTAATATTTTTCTAATTTGGGCTGTTCGTTGTGAATGCCCTACTCAAAGCAGTTACAAACAAGATTTTTTTTTTCCTTTCCCCTCGTGTTGAAGGTACTTATAATGGTGTATATGTGCTTTGGAGTATATTATTATTGTTGTATTACTGTTGGGTGTTCGATAGTCCGTTCCATTACTCTTTGCGTATAACACTGTTGTGTTGAGATGGACTGGTGATGAGTGAGATCTACCTAGCCAGCAATGCATTTATTAGACAATAGTTYATTTTGGTCTTCAATAGACCCCTTGCTTGCATTGCTTAAGTGGCTTCATGTGAGGAACTTCTGCACCCAGATGGAGCTTTTCCAGCTCAAAGCGGGAAAGCCCTCTTTTGACACTGGACKCTCTTGTGCAAGACCTCGCGGAAAGCAAAAGAAAGAATGAATTTTTTGCGGTATCTTCTCATTGAGACTTATCCTGTATTGCATAATTTTTTTTATAGGTTTCTAGAAAATGCAAATTACCAGACGATTGTAATTGCAACATTATTTTCATGATTTCGTTTGCGAGGTCCATTTGCGCAAGAGGGTGTTCTAGAAAAAAAGTTGGTTTTCTGCTTTTTGAACTGGAAAAATAATCGACTACTTCACCCAACACAACTCCACGATATTTATCGAAAATTAGCAGATTAGGAGATGAAGATTTTTTTTTGAAAGCATTGGCGAACCTTCCCGGTCATTTTGAACTCTGTGTTGTGAACTCTTGGGAACATGATTTTTAATGAGGGTCCATTTCTATGACTGTTGTCAGCTTGTTGGATGTACTCATCACAGGTCCCTACTCACCAATGTGGGCTATCTTTGACAGAATTTAGGTTTCCCAGAATATCTGATTTAATTCCAGGTGTTTTAATATATTGTTTATTCATTTAAATTCATGTATCGTTTGTAAACATTCCTCGAATCTTGCAGGATTTTTAGGTACTTAAGTAACTGGTGTTGTAAATAGAAAAGTTTAGCCTTTAGGCATTTTAAATGAATTGTAATCAATTGATGTGTAGCGTGACGTATACAAGTAAACAAACAAAAAAAGAAGATAAAAATTGATGTCATTAGATGAACACTATTGAATTCTTGTTGTTTTACCCTTTACTGAGACTCTCTTCTCTTACTAGTACTCAGGCCCTCCTCCGAAGTCTCTGGTCGGAGTGGAAGCAGATTCTGGGTTGAATACTATATGCATAATGATGGGGCATGGGAATTTTTGAACCAATTAAATCGTAGAGTGATCGCACAAAGCGTGCAAATGTACAAATCTAAGTGGTACTAATTTGTAATAAAAGTGAACTTGAAGCAAGACGGCATTGAATGCTTCATTTGTAAAGGCCCGTTTACACTTGCAATTTTTGCAGCGCGATTGCCGCGCGACAATCGCTACTTAGTTCTCTCGCACCTCAAATCGCACGTGTGAACAGCACTGCGATTGAAATTTTGATCGCCGCGAGTTGCAGCTAAATTTCAAGCATGTTCGAAACTAAGGCGATTGGCGCGCGACAATCGCGCTGCAAAAATTGCAAGTGTGATCGGGCCTTAACAATTCAATTTAATTTGCGTACCGCATGCACGATTTACTATACAACTAAATTGCACTATTTAGTTTGCACAGCTGCACGCGGTTTAAGTGCGACCACTCTAGTAGAGGTCTCTATAATTAAATCAAAGGCTAGGCCTTCGATTTTTCCGTGTTGGGAATGCATGAGAACTATCTGGGTGCGAGAATGAGTTCGGGTCAAACAAGAATTACATTGAACGACCCGACTCAGAAATGCGTTGAGAATTGCAAATGCTCAGACGAAAGGAGCCAAAGTTTTAATACTCCAGTTTCGAATTCTCCAATGCTCTGTGTTAGCCTCACTTGTGCGCAAAATATTCCTTAGTTGTGAGCGTAAAAGTGTGAGATTTCAAATCAAATTTATTGTCTTTCTTCACAAATTCCATGCGTTTTCTCGAGCTATCAATAAAACAAAAGAATATGTTACTTGGTTTTGAGGCTAACACAGAGCAAASCAGAACTCGAAATTGGAGTATTGGCCCTAGAGTACAAACACTAAAACTGTGCAACATAAATACTACTAAATACTGCTAAATTATGCTAATTCTATTGTTTTCTATTTTTTTAATCAACACTATATTTTGTAGTAAATAGTGGAAAGTGCACATATTTAATGTTTGTACTTTATAGAAGCACCACTTAACCCCTAGGGGACCAACTACGGCTATGGGCGTAGAAAACCGATCGATGCGTCTAAACTTGATAAGTTACCGAAATAGGAAGCTATTGCCCTGAAATTGCTCGTACGAACTCACTAGTAAATCTTGTCGTTCTTAAAGTTTAAAGAGTTCTCAAACGAGGTAAAAAAAGGCACAAAACAGTACTCTGCTTTGAAGTGAATGCCAAAATTTGCGTTTGGAGGAATACAGGCAACATTAAATTCCATCTCAATTTCGAGCGTCAAAACAGGTTTTTCTAGCAAAAACTCTACTTCACGTGCAATCCCCTTTTATAGCACGTCCTCGTTTTGCCATTTTTATTCTTTCAAAGTCGCTGCAGACCTCTCAACAGCCCTCTTTTAAACACCCGGTACAACAAACTCCTGTGAACGACCGAAATGCATCACGGGAAGAGACAAAATTTGGACATAAATCTTCCAGCATTCTTTATTTAAGAATTATTTNACCGCATCTAAGTGGAATGCGTATTAATTGGAAGAACTCAGTGTCCATGCTGTCCACAAAAATACGGGTGATGCGTCATTATCTCTAGTGTTCATATAATCGTCCGAATCGCCCCCAAACACGTTTTTGCATTGTACTAGTTGCGTCAAAGGAATTAACTGCAATGGAAGCATTTTGTGTTTTGGAATGGATTGGGGCGACTCTATGGACACTAAGTCTTAGAGAACCGATAGACTAAATGATTACCAAAAACAATATAGATTGCCATGTGATTATGGCATTCGCTTATGCTACGTACGAACGCATCAAAGCGCTTTTCAAATGGCAACTTTGGGGGAAGGCATTGCCTTACTGAGAGCCTGTTCATATACGTTTTGTACATGGTTATTTGGAATACCTGTTTACAGTGGTGGACCCTTTCTAAGTACAAACGCTTACGAATAATATAACTTACCGTTGACAATTAATCGTGTCGACTCTTCCACGAGAGTCCGTGCTCGGACGGGCTCCAAGACTTTGCAAGCCACAAAGTTGTCTTTCCAAAAACTCCTYGATGCGATTTGGACGAGGCTTCGTAATCGCATTAGAGAATTCACTTAATATAAAACATATTTAAGAGGGAGAATATGATGAAATAGTAATATTTTTCTAATTTGGGCTGTTCGTTGTGAATGCCCTACTCAAAGCAGTTACAAACAAGATTTTTTTTTCCTTTCCCCTCGTGTTGAAGGTACTTATAATGGTGTATATGTGCTTTGGAGTATATTATTATTGTTGTATTACTGTTGGGTGTTCGATAGTCCGTTCCATTACTCTTTGCGTATAACACTGTTGTGTTGAGATGGACTGGTGATGAGTGATCTACCTAGCCAGCAATGCATTTATTAGACAATAGTTTATTTTGGTCTTCAATAGACCCCTTGCTTGCATTGCTTAAGTGGCTTCATGTGAGGAACTTCTGCACCCAGATGGAGCTTTTCCAGCTCAAAGCGGGAAAGCCCTCTTTTGACACTGGACGCTCTTGTGCAAGACCTCGCGGAAAGCAAAAGAAAGAATGAATTTTTTGCGGTATCTTCTCATTGAGACTTATCCTGTATTGCATAATTTTTTTTATAGGTTTCTAGAAAATGCAAATTACCAGACGATTGTAATTGCAACATTATTTTCATGATTTCGTTTGCGAGGTCCATTTGCGCAAGAGGGTGTTCTAGAAAAAAAAGTTGGTTTTCTGCTTTTTGAACTGGAAAAATAATCGACTACTTCACCCAACACAACTCCACGATATTTATCGAAAATTAGCAGATTAGGAGATGAAGATTTTTTTTTGAAAGCATTGGCGAACCTTCCCGGTCATTTTGAACTCTGTGTTGTGAACTCTTGGGAACATGATTTTTAATGAGGGTCCATTTCTATGACTGTTGTCAGCTTGTTGGATGTACTCATCACAGGTCCCTACTCACCAATGTGGGCTATCTTTGACAGAATTTAGGTTTCCCAGAATATCTGATTTAATTCCAGGTGTTTTAATATATTGTTTATTCATTTAAATTCATGTATCGTTTGTAAACATTCCTCGAATCTTGCAGGATTTTTAGGTACTTAAGTAACTGGTGTTGTAAATAGAAAAGTTTAGCCTTTAGGCATTTTAAATGAATTGTAATCAATTGATGTGTAGCGTGACGTATACAAGTAAACAAACAAAAAAAAGAAGATAAAAATTGATGTCATTAGATGAACACTATTGAATTCTTGTTGTTTTACCCTTTACTGAGACTCTCTTCTCTTACTAGTACTCAGGCCCTCCTCCGAAGTCTCTGGTCGGAGTGGAAGCAGATTCTGGGTTGAATACTATATGCATAATGATGGGGCATGGGAATTTTTGAACCAATTAAATCGTAGAGTGATCGCACAAAGCGTGCAAATGTACAAATCTAAGTGGTACTAATTTGTAATAAAAGTGAACTTGAAGCAAGACGGCATTGAATGCTTCATTTGTAAAGGCCCGTTTACACTTGCAATTTTTGCAGCGCGATTGTCGCGCGACAATCGCCACTTAGATCTCTCGCACCTCAAATCGCACGTGTGAACAGCACTGCGATTGAAATTTTGATCGCCGCGAGTTGCAGCTAAATTTCAAGCATGTTCGAAACTAAGGCGATTGTCGCGCGACAATCGCGCTGCAAAAATTGCAAGTGTGATCGGGCCTTAACAATTCAATTTAATTTGCGTACCGCATGCACGATTTACTATACAACCAAATTGCACTATTTAGTTTGCACAGTTGCACGCGGTTTAGAGTGGTTCTCATTAACCCGTGAAATACACTTTAGCGTATTACACTTTATTACACTTTGTCTCTTTTGTTTTCTATTATATTTCTTGGCTATTACACTTTATTACACTTTGACTATTACACTTTGTTTCACGGGTTAATGAGAACCACTCTAAGTGCGACCACTCTAGTAGAGTTCTCTATAATTACATCAAAGGCTAGGCCTTCGATTTTACCGTGTTGGGAATGAGAACGATTTGGGTGCGAGAATGAGTTCGGGTCAAACAAGAATTACATTGAACGACCCGACTCAGAAATGCGTTGAGAATTGCAAATGCTCAGACGAAAGCCCCGATAGAAGCACCACTTAAGAAACCGTCATGCACATTGAAGAGAGATGGTTGGTAGTAGGGAAGTAATAGTCACTTTTTGCCTGTTGCCACAAAACTAGTATTGTTTTCAGGGGCCTAGTAGTACTCTATCCTGGATTTTCAGACGGCCCAAACTACAGTATTTTTTCGCCCATATACACTGTATAATAGAAACATTATAAAAACATGCTGTCGTCTCATGTTCGAAATGTACTGCGAACTTAATACTTCGTATGAAAAAGAAACAAATGTATTGAATGCTAAATTTTCTTTTATTATTGTCTTATGTTACCACTGTTTTACGAAAGCGCGATTTCTGCCTGTAAATTTAAAATATAAACATAGAATAGTTTTCATAAACCCGTGCAAAATACACTTTAGCAAACGACGCTGTATCACTCTTCATCCTTTCGGTGTGTCACACTATAACTATTATACTGTTTCTTCACGGGTCAATAAAAACCAATCAGTCCGTGAACCATTAGTAATTACTTGCTCTTTTGTACTATTTTATTCAAATTCTTTTTTTCTACCAGCATTACTTTGCACAATTGATTTAATGTCTCAAGTCTCTATACCAGTGAAACAAAATCTATTTAAGTCGCATGTCAAATAGACAGGAAAGAAAACAGAACAACCAGAGCGTACTAAAAAAATAAATATTAAATAAGTATGTTTTCAATTTGAAAATTTTCATTAGCGGCATAATCGACTGACGCGTTGCCATGTGCTTTACTAACCAATTTTCAATGGAAAATGAACTTTTTGAACAATAAAACTTGCTCGCGGGTGGTTTGAATTGGGTGGAAACCTTTATAGCAACGCGTTAGTCGATTCATGACACACATAACGTTTGAATTGTGTGTCGAGCTTGGTTTTTAATCCGTGTAACCGTACAAACTAAATAGTCACTAGTTAGTTGTATTTAGTAAATCGTGCATGCGGTACGCAAATTAAATTGATACAAATGAAGCATTCTATACCGTCTTGCTTCAGCTCCACTTTTAGTACAAATTAGTACTACTTAGATTTTGTACATTTGCACGGATTAAGTGCGTTCACTCTAAAGAACACGGATTAARCGCTCCATATCACTATTCTGTTACACGCATGACACCGTCTTACAGGCTGCACAAATAAAACTAGCTTCAGCGTATCACAGATTGTCAGATTGGAGGGTATGAAAACTACTCWATTAATATACATGAACCATTTACATTGGAGCCGCCATCTTGAATTATTTAAGATAACAAAGTTCAGAGCACAGTTCCTCATTGGTCATCCAAAATGGAGGCGAGAGTCGTTCCTGACGTCATCCACAATGACGCATTTTCGTTTCGTTTTGGATTCCCTGAGGACAGAGAGCTGAGCAAAATCACTAAAGACATCGATTTGGTAGATGCCTTTAAAAGGCTATCAAACATTCGCTATAAAAATCCCGCTGGTTTTATGAGTCACTCACTATAAAGACGGTAACATTTGCAATGGTCGTTGCCCCTAGCGACGTACTATCCRTTTTACCGAAATGCATCATGGTACCAAGATTGTGGATGTCTGATCAAACCTACGAAAACGACGCTYCTTTGCAAAATGTCGACAACGCTCTGAAAGATCACTWAAAACACTTAGGTATGCTCAAAAGCATTCTCGAAAACGGAAAACGTTCATGTTGCAAAGAAAGAAAGGTCGTCCTTCCTCACGCTGCTTCGTTTTGCAACAGCCGCCATATTCTTCGTTTTCAAGTTACGTCACAGCGGCCAYCTTGGAAGAACTTTAACAAAAGATTTTYAATTAGTATCTTTTGCTCATTCCTCCAACATGGCCGCCRGTCTTTTATCTTTTGAATCTCATAGGAAAGGGTGAAAACGATGAMATGATATTTTTCAATATCAATACCACGATACCACGATACCTTCGCCAAAACAATCAAGACGTCATTAAGGGAAACATATTTAATTAAAACATTATATTATATTACAGAAAATTGCGTCTGACTGCGCATGGAATCTACTCAACTCTACAATTGATAAAACTACTAAAAACTCTACGAGTTATAATCGTTACCTATGAAGCCAACTGACCATACATTAAATGTTATCTGTATACTACATTAGATACTTAAATGCCTGTCAGACAGTTTATAATGATGAAGCATCGTATTAATATTATTATTATTATTATTATTAAATATAATCATTTGATATTGTGTATAAAGCTTATACTTCCATTTCTTTGAAGCATCTACCCTCTTTGGAATAGAAAAAGTACCTCTCATTCAAAGGTGTCATTATATCCTACTGYAAATTGACAATTAACCACTGGTACAAAAAACAGCAAAGCAGTAMAATGAAGCCCGATGTTGAATTCAACAAAACTGCGTCAAATCAGTAGGCTWGATTCCAGTCCCACGCGAGATTCATGATCAGATTAAAACGTGTCTCCCACTACACACAAGTCTCGTTCTTTTTGTCCTTTTTATTGTCACTTTTCACTTCCACAACACTTGGTCTTAGTGCGGGAGTGTAACTTTTGAGCTTCTGTTGCTTCTGGTCTTGAGCTGAAAAAGACTTTTGGGATTTTGTTCGGCGATTATCTTCACTCTCCATATACATAGCAGCTTCTTTGTCTACTTGGAATCTTTGTAACAGGGGTACCCACGGGGAGTTTTGATCTTCGTCGTTTAATAACGACGGTGGGGGTGGAGGTAAGTCATTATTATCGATAGTTCCATAAGAGTTTTTCGAGTTGGTCCGTACATTTCGATGATGCTGCGGTGGAGAACCCGATTTTAGTGGAGAAACCCATCCCTCCGACCCCGATCTCTGTTTCAAGCTTGTTACACTAGAATGCTGATTATTTACATCGGATGTCGAAACAGGTCTCGCTGCTGCACTTTTTTCGCTTCCTACATATTGCGCATTTGCACTTTTTGGTGCGGCACCTCGGTTACTGTTGGAATACGAAGTAGTCTGAAATCCCGTGGATTCACTGACAGACCGTGGAGATGTGTGAGGAGCTTTACTCGAACTTCCTCGCCCATTTCGCTTGACGGCTACTGCATTTTTAACAGGTCCGTTTTTCGCCATGGTGAAAACTATGGGTGAAGGTTTCTCAGCAGCGCTATTTTCTTGAGAGTCAAAAAATAAGGAGTTATTCGCGGACTCCACCGCAAGTTCTCTGGATTCTAAAGGTACGACCATCTCACAGGTACATTCCATAGCCTGTATTGTGGGAGGGGAGGGTGGGGGTGGAAAATCAGCACTACCGCTAGACTCCATGGATGATGTTCGAGGTTTTGTAATAGGAATCCATAAATCATCTTCGTACGATTTTTTCGATTCGTCGATTTTCGAGTCACTGAACACAATAAGATCAGCTATTCCGCCATTCTTATTACTTGGTGTTTGAACGTTAGTAGGTGGTTCTGGGAATTCTTCGTGTTCTTCGAAGTACAGAGCAAGAGGAGGCTTGGGAGAGTAAGGTTCTTTATTCTCTGACGCTGATACAACGTGATCTGTTTCCAAGTCAACGAGAGTCTCTTCCCTAGAGTTCCTATTGGCCTTTTTCGACTTATCGTCCATTTGTTTTGCCATGACGTTGAAGCTTTGCTCCTCTTGTGAGAGTCTTTTATCTGCCTTTGTCATCTTTGCTTCCACGACTCCATCTTCTTCGTCTCTAGTGTTTTCCACCTCAGTTTCTGTAGTTTCACCATTGTCTTCCTCTTCTGTCTCAGACGTTGATGGAGGTTGGAGAATTATTTCTGGTACGTCACTGTCGTCGTCTAGTTTCCCTTCAGCGATTGGTTTAACGTCATCAAGTTGGTTAGATTCTGTTTGTGTCGTTTCGTTAGCATCTGACATACTTTTTCTTGGCGTCCCAAGAAAGTTCCCTTGTTCCCAACCGGCTGAAACAAAGCAAGAATACAAGTTATCATACAGAAGTCAAGAAGAACTCAAAGACAATGAAAGCACCAGTCAGCATTGTTGGGCGACCCAAAGCTTTGTCCTGGGACACATTGCATTACATCGTTTCCCCCTCCCAAAAATGGATATGTTGATTTTAACAAGTTCATGTGACATAGTACTTACTGGATGATGTCTTGAGCAGTTGACATTGCATATCACCAGGACTTACACATCGACTGTTCGTTTGACTATTAAAAAAATAATTATTATTATCAAACGGACATATGTAACTGCTCTCAGTATATAACAGACTATGAAATCACTGCAATTCATGCGGGGRATTCTTAAATCAGTTATGCCTTGCAGTATATGGGTACATTTGTGTGGGGTAAACTGAATTTTCAGTTGTGTCGAAAAAGGCCTGCAACTTGAGAATAATTCGCAAGGGTGGCCTCCGACGTAAAAACTGACCAGTGATGACTAATGCTCATTTTCACAGAGCAAATCCTACTACACCCTACTCTTACAGCCGTTGAGCTGACAAGCACTTTCAGGGATTACGTTTACCATAACATTATAGAATCACTTCTTACCAAGTAGCGCATTCTTGGGGGTACCGTGCATTCAGAATCCATGCTCTAAAAAGCTGCCAGTCACCAAAGGTCATTCCCATTATCTGACTTAATTCGCTAAGGTCACAGGTGGCTAGAACTTTGCCATTAACATTGTTCTCAGAGATGACCTTTTGATATGTTGAGATTTGCTTCTGATCCAAGCCYTCCATTTCTGATAACTGCAGAGAATCATTTTTTAAGTCAATATTGGCTTCCTATTAATACATGATATTTACATCATAGAAGAATAAGCATGGTCAAGGGGATACACTCAAGCTCTGATTATATGAAGCGGGCTGGCCCGGGTGTAGTATCCATTGTATTATAACCATGGCAACATGGAACGTGACTGGCATAATGTAATATGATATAGTAATGAGTGTATACATAGATATGATCGTGGTAATAAAGTCATTCTTGTGATTTACATACTGTGTGTGCATTACTGTTATTGCTACGTTATACAAGACGTTATACCGGGTGACTTCTTTTGTTTTGTGTCCKTCAGAGAAAAGAAAACAAAAAGAAACCAGCCAGTGAGCCGGGGCAGCCCTCTTCTACAATCAGTCCATAAGCTTGAAATGCTGGATTGCCACACACCATCAAACATTTTTGAGCGGACTGACATTGTTGCCAGTTGATCATATAAGCGCAATGAAACATGTTTGATACAACGGCGAAATGTTAGTTCCGTTCATCAACGTTTGATGCTGGCTTAACTTCCTTGGAACATATGGCAAAGGACCAAATGAAATGTTAGTTCAAATCATACCTGTTTACATATRTCATCAATGGTGAGCTGCTGCAAATTAAACTTGTCTTTCTCTTTGTTACTGAACAATGTATTTAACTGTGAAAAGATCATAATGAATGTTAATGTTTATGGAAGGATTCCTATTGTAACAGATTGCAATTTTACAGTTAATTTCTGCCTTGAGGAGCTGGCACAGCAATGTCTCCTTCACGTTTCCGTGCGCCATCTTGAAAGGTAGCCGTTGAGATATCTTTTATTTCACAATTAACGGTCACCTCGTTTCGATGCAACACGGCTACCAAGATGGCGCAGGGAGCTGTGAAAGGTACTTTCCATTAAGTTTGAACAGTCCGACCAAACCATCAAGTTAACAACACTGRCATTTTTGTTCAATAAAGTTCCTAGCATAAATTCAGACTGAATTGATTCTGCCGACTGAACCAAATCCGATTAATACTGTCTGATTTCAACACAACTGACCAATGGAAAGTGAGCGCCTTYTGGACAATACGAGCCAGTAATAAAACGAATAGTTATAAAACTATAAGACGAGGATYAAGCTTAAATTCCTTTACCTGATAGCCTGAACTTCGTTTCCCCATACTTTCTGTTTCCGACTTTGTGGTGCCAGTCCCTGTTCCAGTATGAATGCTCTCGACCATTTGCCGCCGTAGGGAATGGTCCAAGTGAATCGTACTCGAAAGGAAACGCCTGATGTCCGCAGCTCTCAAGAGAGGCTGATGTGAGGACAGAAAAGTCTCGAAGTACACAGGGTCCCCATCAACCATACAATCCACTTCGTTTATAACAGGCAATGCTGAGAGAGTAGCTTCATAGAGGTCTTTCAGTGATACACTGTCCCTAATGTGCGTGTTACTGTCTTCTATGAGAAGAACGAGCCATGATGTTTTGTAAGGCCATCCATCAACTAAACTGACCCATGCAGCCAGTCGCTTCCACGAGTACTCGAAACCCCGAGCACGAAGGAGCCGACACGTAAGTGATACAATGTTCATTAGTCGCTTAACTCCGAGAGGGTTGACCGTCTCATTGTCGGCAAGAACTTGCGCCAGGTCGGCTGAGATCTTCCTTCTTTCCTCCAATTCCAGTTCCCGTTCTAACATCCTTTGATGATCAAGGGCTAAGCAAGGATCGCGCTCGTTTGGTTCATAAATTGCAGCACAATGATCTATGCTCATATCAGGGTGTGGTCGACCCGGTACTCCGCCATTACAGTTATGAAAGTCCCTGTGAGCGCGAGCGGCGTTTTTGTCATTGTCGTACTGAAGCATTTCTCCGTCCCATTCCATTTCGTCATGCACAATGCTATTAGGACGTATGTCTACTTCAGGGTGATGATCGCTGTCATAATCCACTGGTCGTACGTCATCTAGTAAACTGGTGATATTAGGCCCTAAGACTCCCGTATAGTTGGACTTGGGCTCAGGAAGATAGAATGGAAGCTGGACAATACTTTTCAAATAATCCGAGGCACTTATGTGCGACTCTCGTAAAATACTGCTGAAACTTTGGTCGATAGCACGGATAATCACTCTTGGGTCCAATGCCATCAAAATAATAAACGGTGCTTCGGGGTCTGTGAATAATAGATTAACCGAATCAAGTAATTGGAGAACTTTGGACTGCTCGGAGTTGTCTAATCCATCGATAACGATAACGATTCTCGTTTGATGTCTCGTAAAACCATCGACACAGTTAACGAGATCAGTCAATAACTCTACTTCTTGCTTCAAAGCATGAATAAAACCTTCTTCTTTCAATCCAAGCTGAGTAGCAACAACTGATATTCGCTTCTTCTGCGAAAAGGCAAGCGAGTAAAGGATGGAACAGAGTGTTGGCAAGTGGACTAGAATTGCCACTCCCACCACCGATGCCGTGGCAATCTCAAGTCCTGTGATTGCAGAACTCGCATTGGGACCATTCACGGTGAATAAACTAATACTCGCCAGCCCGCAAATAATAACAAACAAAAATATAATAAAAGTAGGTACACAACAGCAGCAACGCTTCCATCTTGCGTTTACGTAACCAACATCGTCGTATTCTGAATGCGGTGCACGAAATACACGGTAAAGACGCGTAACGAAGAACCCAAATTCTGACTCCACGACGTCACACAGTGTTTCTATCATTCCAACTAACGAAGCCGCCTCACTCCCGCTGCATGTTAGCTTACTGAAATCCGTAAAGAAGAATCGCACAGGTAACGACGGCTTCATAGCGTTCGGAGAAGGCGGAATACAGAAAATGAATTGCGATAATAGCTTGAGTGTTGCAACAGTATTCGCAACGTAGCCACCAACAGCGCACGGTGTTTCGCCGCTGGCGTAACGTCTGTCAGCAACGTATGCACATAGAAATAATGAATAAATGCCGAAAAAGATGGCTAGTCCAATACAAATGCCTTCCACGATACCCARAGCAGCCCACATGATGATTCCAATGATGATTGACATAATTAAAACTATGATGAAGATGAAACGGGAAAACTGGAACGCAGGACGCATATCTTGGTGGGCGAACTCTCTCATCTCCTCTGAAAATCAAGAAAACAAATCGGTACGCAATTCATTCAATTAAATTGGATTATATACACCTAAGACCGAAACGAATTTTAAGTGCTCACAAATTCGGATCGTATTTGCCTAAACATGCTACATCATAGCACTTTATTCAGAGAAGGTGTAATCTTTTTGCGCAACATAATATTTTTTTTTCATAATATTTATTTTCCCGTGCTCCCTTTCGATCTTAGCTTTGATGTAGACTTTTATCACATACCTTGTAATCGTTTTAAAACAAACGACTTCCCACTGCCCCAACGCGCGTACAGTCCTACTGTAAGGGGCATATTAAGCGAGGGCTCACACAGCACGTCTGCTAATGCACTAGTGTATACGTCATAGCCCATGATCTCCTCGTTACACTTTTTACCACTTGCTATTAGACCTGAAAGAAAAAGTATACATAACGGTCGATTTTCACTACTACAGTAACATACAGACACTGAGACAAGASATAGAAGGGACGAAATGGATTTAGTAGAAACGGACGACGGCGCGGTGCAACTCTCGGAGGTTTTGCAATATTAAAATCATCATTTCTTTGGGTACTAAGAAAAAGCGCTACATCTAAATGGTATCTTATAAACGCCTCTGCAAACGCCGAAACTCGCAGGTGCACAATTCATAGATGGTATTGTGTTAAGAAATATGAGCGAACTGCATCGATTAGCCCATTTTCACAATGACGTCAGGTATTACTGTAACGATTGCTTATATGTAATGTAATCACGAATTCTTCAATTTTGTAGATGGCCTGTTCGATACAAAAATCGAGCACCAATCTGATAATGAAGCGCGCACTATAAAGATAAAATTATTAATTCATCATTATTTATTACTAACTGATAATTACCTGTGCCGAATATTTGTGTTAAAATGCTGGTACGATGTTGTCTGTCGATGTTATAAGGAGTTTCTCCTGCTTTGTTGGGACGATACAGAAGACGAGCGTCCTTAGGGTTTCTTAACAGCAGCTCACAAATGCGTTTGAATCTCCCGCGTACTGCTATATGTAATGATGTATCACCTCGCTGTGAAGAGGAGTTTAACGTTAGTTTCTATAAGCAGTGCAGTAGTCTGGTTTGAATGTTTTGTGCCGTAAACACTTTTAACCAACACTCAAGGTATAGTAAAGTGTCTACCCAATCTAACCCAACCACGTAAAAACACTGGATTCCTTCTAAGTAGTTGGCTGTTTAGAAGTACTTAGCCGAGGGAGATCACAWCGAACACAACCTTTGCATATCTGACGTCAAGATATTTGATCTTTTGAGAGCCAGAATCGATAGCTTTCAGTCCCCCAGGTGAAACTGCATTTCCCACGACTCATACCGAGGACGGAAATGTGAGCCAAAAATCTTCCCAGTTCCTTCAAGTTAATTGTTTTTGGGTACGGTTAACGATAAAAACAGCTTTATATCATTACCTTTCTTGGCTAGGTTTAGTGTGAGTTTTAGGGTAAGGTTTAACGATGAAAATAGCTGATTATTATAAGAATCACACTGCAGTTACATCATTAATATATCTTTAAATAATTCAAGATAAATAAATACTTTGTCAGACGCTGATACTAAAGCYCCTTTCTCCAACAGAAGACCAACTATTTCTGTGTGTTTCTTGATAGTTGCTCTTATTAATGGCGTTTCAGCGTCCTAAAAATACAAGATATAAACATTGAAATATTCACAAGGAGTATTATTGGAAAACACAATTCATACGTTTGTGTCATGTCTAAGATGAWTAGAACATCATTGGCAACAATTTCAAATTAGATACGGTCCCCAATATCTCTCGACTGTGCAAGTCCAGCCATATGGCAAAAAAGCTGATGGATTCAAATGTCAAGCYACTGATGTACCAAATGTAATACAACATTACCAAATGCGTCGCAAAACCTCGACTCTGATGACTGATTGCTGCTTTTTTTAGTTTTCACGATAATTTAATATATTGGCTATTAAACTTCTTCTTCTTCGTGTCACTCATCAATGGAACAATAATATAGCGTGTCTTTTTTCCTAACGGATTGAATATTGAGGAAAATATACAGAGAAAGTTCTGGCCGCTGTTACGGATATGAAATAATCTACAAAAAGTKTTGACGTCTTAAATGATGTATGGTTGTTTTTCTGCTAAGTACTCTCATGTTTTTGTGTCAGCTCGGTCTATACCCTAAGGGTGAGGTCATCTTAATCAACCACTTTGAGGTGTTTGCGATGATTAAAACCATTTCAATCCGTTAGCTTTGTTTACAACATCTTCTTTGTGAGAGTAGGTTCAAGCAATTTTCACCTTTMAAAAAMCCAGCAATACCGCAAGCGATAGGTCGTTAACGATAAATTTAYACGGCTTYTTAAAAGTGGCYGTCACCGACAAAGACGACAAGAGATAGTTTGCAATTATAGCGGATATAGATTTGAGGATTTGAAAATTAAAGAATCGCTAAACTCATTTTCTTCTTTAGAAAACAGGTGAATATTTTACCAGAAATTTAGGTTACTTATATAAAACGAACATTTCAATATTCAATACATTTCAATACTCTTTAAAAAGAGGAATGCATGTACCACTGCTTATTGTTCACATCTTATCCCGCAAAATATGGTTTAAATCCCGAGTAGCTGTCTGCTTTGGTTGTAAGCACGTTTGATATGAATGCAACACGTCATCAACATCTCCCAGATTTGTTACCTCACTAATTCGTTTCAGAAATTGGGATAAACTTACCTTGTTTGGTATTTCGGTCTTGGCATTTGCTTCAAGTAAATAACGCACTATAGGAGTRTGACCATTYTCGACAGCGTGAAGAAGCGCRGTTTTGCCTTCCTAGAATCAGAGATAACAAAGACGGATTAAACTAAATACGAATTGTTAAATTGAAATGAAAACGAAAACAAGAAAGAGAAAAAGAACACATAAAAAAGAAGACAGTGAAAAAATAATGAATGACTAAAAAAGATCTAAAACGGATGAATYAATGGAAATTGGACATAAATAAATTGATAGCAAAATAATAAATAAATAAATGACTCAAAATAACAATTGATKAATTATCAATTAATTCAGTCTATTTATAATTCATGATTTTATTTAAAAACGGAAAAYACTCACCGAATCGACGGCATCTACATCGGCGTATTTGCTCAACAATGTCTTCACCACTTCCACGTGACCATCGCGTGACGCRGAAATGAGAACAGTCTCGCCTTCCTGAAGGAGCAAAAAAAYTCACYATTGAAAGAGAGTACTATACACAGACCTCTTACATTAATGACAMAGTACTTGACCTGGCAGACAGAAACGCTTAAGGCACAAGGGCTAAAAATGACCTGTCTTTAAAATTGGTTTAAAAAGACATTAAGACTAAATCACAGCATTCTGGGCATTCGCTTCAATTCTGTTCGAAAATAACGATTTTCTTTAGAAAACCCTCGCGTTTCTTGCATACAGGCTTCGCCGAAATTATACAATAAGTTTCGAATTCCTTCTTGCGCGGAATAAAATTATTTATGAACGGTTTTTTTAATGGACTTTACAACATGTTCAACATTATCCCTACGTACTACTGCGCTATTGTCAATCTAATATAAGGAGCCTTTTTCCATTATATCGGCTTAAAAAAGAGCTCTCAAATGACAAGAATCTTTTTTATTAACATTGTAAAACCGCATGCTATGGGTTCGATAAGAAACGTCGATAAGAAAGTAAAAGAGTAATGAGTTGGCGCGTGTTSTCGCTACGGCTCATTGAGTCAGAGAAGAAGAAAAAAACGCTCTTTAAAAGAGAAGATAAATATTATTGAGACACAGACAYTATTGATATGATAGGGTTAAGTTATAATTTGATGACTCAATTCACATGTAAACATTTACCAACGTATTGTGAGTGTTCAACAAGGCTCCGCATACAAGAAAATTTGACTTCTCTGTTGTTTTCGCACTGGGAATTCACCACACGCTCGCGCGCAAAGCAGAGTTTTCAAATTTGCATTCATTGAAGACAACGATATTATGAGATAGTTACGTTACAAGTATAGGAACATGAGAAGAAAACAATAATTATGTAATCGATTCTAGAGTCGCAGTTCGCAACCYTTTCGCTTCTCTAATGATTAATGACCAAAAAGATATACATGATCTTGAAATGTATCTAGCCTGCTACAACACATCTGTGTTTAGAAATATAAAATTTCTAGCTGATCTAATGGTTGAAATTACAATCTCCGGCAAAAAATAGAGACACCTATTTCCCAGGATTCTACTCATAAAACCTTTCCGATGAGGTTTGCGGACAACAAAAAGCTATCAATTTCCYGGGAATAGTTGAAGATATCACCCAAACAACACTGAACCAGGGGAAGGGATCGTAAGTGCCTCGTTTACATTAATAAGATTATACCATCTACGGCGAGGAAAAGCAATTCATCTATATAAGCACAGAATATGCACAATACTTAAGTTCCACATAAATCTATCACAACTGGTATTTACCGCTAAATTATAACTTGCAATCATTTCACTAACACGCGTGTTGTAAGCCCGTGAGGCCGCCGAGGTCTTTCTTGGAGTATTTAGAGCATTGGAATCCATCATTGAAAATGTTCGCATTTATATCAACACAGCTCCCCAGTTTCGTCTTCTTGCCTGTCGACCGGTTTGAATTTTTACTGCAGAATTCTCCCCMAAACAGTTTAAATGTAATGTAATCGGAGTTTTGTTTTTTGAATGCTTCAGTAGTAAAACAGACATAACGATGAGTTTGTTATTAAGACGCCATGGAGGACTAAATCAGTGTTACTCGATTTGTTTTCTTACGGGGGAGGGGGATAGGGTTTGCTAAATTGGGTTACACAGGATTTTAATTCGGTCTTCCGACAAGATTATGATACGTCAAAACTCATTTTACTGTATTTATTTATAGATATATAAATTAGTTAATTCATTTGTTGTAATATTTTAATTCTGAYGTAAGAATTCGATGCCTACACGTAGCCTATGTACCTATCCCCTCCCCCACTGAAATAAAACAAATTCTTAACTTTACATACGAAATAATAATCAATGAACCTATTGGTCTAAACATCTTTCAAAGTCTTCGTTTCTAATGATATATATGTACTTGCTTTGGCGAATGTCTAGTGGCTGAGAGAGAACATGTGACAAGGGAGAAACTGTCAACAGTTCAATACAACACATGAAAGGACGCCATTTTGAATATGTAATTAGCAAAACCTTCAACGTGACTATCAAAGATCAACCTATTGTTTGCTCCGCTTTCAAAGGGAAAAAATAAACATAAATGAAAAAATCTCAACATTATATCTCTTTATAAGTGTTAACAAAGACTGAAAAACAAAGAGTCAAATAGAAAGAATTTTCCCGCGCAAAGCAAATCAAAACATGAGCGATTCGCCTCGACTACAAAAAAATGTAGCGACTTGTTTTGGYATTATCAGTGATGACGCTGTCCTAAACGTTCAATAAACAGAGGATTAATTTCGAGTCGGCATTAAAGCAAATCTCTTTTATTTAAATCCAATTTTCAGTTCTCAAATCCGTAGATATAAGGCTTAAAGTAGATTTGATCTGACAAAAAGAAATCCCGTCAAACTTACAGAGCTGCGAAGGATTCCCGAGCGAGCAAAAGCTTTGCGCATAACTTCTGCTTCCTTTGTCTTTTCGATAATAGATTTACTATAAATACAAGGCTTATATCTTTCTTCATAAAATATTATTGATATATTATGTAMGAGATAAGTCCTTACAAAACGACAGTCCATTTACACTTTACTGAAGTATATTTTACGTATAAAAAGATCACTCGCGAGGGAGAAAACGCCACAACCGCACTTACGCATGTAACAGATCTTAGTATTTAAGACGTATCTATTTAGTGTTTTATATATAGGTTTAAGCCCAACCCCTGACCAATTTCTTTTACTTAAAACAACAACAGCTTCCCCCTAATTATTCAAGCGAAARACTTTAACTGGAATTAATAGAAACACATAGAAAACACTGATATAGGCCTTTGAGATATTTGAATATGTTTACATCATAACATCAAAATTAAAAAAAACGATAACATGTACTACCAAYCATTAATAATATGCCTACACATAAACAAAAAGATAAAAACATTATTTGTGAACTTACCTTATCGGTAAGGTTGTAGTAAGCGCCTTTTGAGATGAGCTTTTGCACGATTTCGTTATGTCCTTGCTTAGCTGACCATGCGAGAGCCGAAAATCCTTCCTGAAATTACAAAAAAATTATAAGACTTAGTACTGCTATTATAAAATGCTTATTTAGTCTTCCCAAGCCGAGAAACCCAGCTGTCAAGTGTTAAAAATTGCAATAGCTACAAACATTAAAGATATCGAGACACCACGCAAAATATAGAAAACGCTAACATAAAAATTCATACACTTTATATTTAAATGTGTATTGTATACCAAATATTGAAATGATTGGGTTTGTTTGTTTGCGAGCCTAAGTAACATGCCGCCATTCTTTAAGATACGAAGGTTCTTTCATCAAAAGTTAAATATCGATCCAGTAATTACAACCCATGCTAGAGTTATGTACAGAAATTTTTCACGGAATTTCAGAAATTGAAAAACTTACCAATTTATATTTATGGCAATTAATTGAGAAGTGTCTGTGAATCAGAACTAGTTCTATTTTCAGATACCGCAGTAAATGAAAAAGAATATAACAAAACTTGCAATGAAATGATCTGCTTTGACTGATAGTTTGGTGGCAGAGATGGGATTATTTCCCTGATGGAGAATGCACTCCACCGACTAGCAAAAACATCATCGCATCACCATAAAGAGAAAACGCACGTACGATTTTCGCAGGTGTGAGCGTTTTTGTTCAACAAAGAAAAAAGATTAAAGAGATACGAGCACCTTCAAGATAAAACCGCCAACCAATTCTCATTCGCAAGCTATGTAGACCGAAAGGCCTGCTGTGCCTAAGAATTAAACATTAGACAACAGATTTTTGAAGTTCGGTCACCTTTTGAAGAGAAATCGAGTCCAAGCTGCCAATGAAATCCCCACAATGCTTTACTWTCAATGCCTCAGACACATTCTCGTTTTAAGTGAACGCCTCTGTACTAACCTACTTCATCAACTGCCTACGTAAACCTTCAGCTTAGAATATTGACAATAAGGCTCACGCAGAGAAAGTGATCGATTTTAGKTCCTCATAAACAAGTCGAAAAAGGCAGTTGGCAAGCTGAATGAATATTCTCCAAGATTTCAATGAAATCTTTCAGTAAATTACTGTCTTATTAAAATATAATCAACAATAGACGAATCAAAGAAATCCACTGGTAATTTATCATAGGGAGGGTAGGGCCAGGTGCAAATCATGTTATTTGAGTGGTTTGCTGGAACCTTATTGTAGCTAGGAGGATCTCCGGTTAAAAACTCTCTGCACAAATACTAACATACTTTTAATCGCAGGGATTCTGGGAAGTTACTGATGGAGCTGATTCGAAATGCCTTCTTAAAAATATAGCACACTCATTTGGTTAAAAATAGACATTTTTTAAATGCAGACGAAGCAATAGTGGGAAATCAGTTACTAATCTATTTTTTTCTGAATATGATTTCTCATTAGTTAAAGGGAAAAATTTCTTTGAGAATCAAATCACAGTCTCTAAATTTTAAGCCTTTTTTACTCATGTCCTCGTAAATCGAAAATTTTTAAATGACCCGCGGAAGGTTCATAAAATCCACTGATATTATGTAGAAACTCGAATTTTAAGTATTATAGTTCGTCAAATTCAAAATATAAAATCACAGTCCAAATATTAATATCAGTAAATCATGAAAACAAAACAGTAAAAATACAAAAATAGATGCTCGATTGTTATCAAAATTTACTGAAATTATATTTTGGCGAGTATTCAGTTAACCCCAAGGCGATCRKAGTATGTTAATACAAGTATGGCAACATTTTRTTCAGTACCTGATCTGTCGCGTTGATGTTTGGATCTCTAATTATGAGGTAATCTACGAGGTCTGTATATCCACCTTTAGCGGCCATGATTAATGCTGTCCAACCTCTCTGCAAACAGGATTGAGTTATGGTTATTAACAAATCTCGGGTTATTCTTATTTCATTTTAGGATAACRAGCGACATGTTACGAGACCGCTATTTATGATGTAATTGATTTCAGAGTCGCCGGAAACCCGCTTGGTTGTATCAACATTGCTTTTATTCGTCCAACAGTTTCCAATGAGTCCGTTCCACACGTCGAATCTAACACGTGTCGAATTCAATGCAAATGAGATGATCAAAAAAAGACGGGAGCGAGGATGATGCATTGAATTCGSGACTTGACAGTTTACGAGGATTTCAAATCAGACCTATATCTAGCRTAACGGATTTTGTAATTCCAAGTTTATAATAACGACTTCAGATGGGTTGATAACTACAACATCGCCGATATCATCAATCGCTTCGACCTTTTGACATCATATTTTTAGAGCGATATTATCCAAGATGGCTGCCGTATAGCACATGGGCGGTGATGCAATTCAATAATATCGATCACCCCTCACCACTTTGCCAGGAACGGTTCTGAGTCYCTACTTATGCATAAATCATATATGAGATGAGCTTGCAATTGTTTTATGTCTCGTTCTCCTTCCTCATCACAACAATCAGAAAGAGATCGGAGAGCGTTCAATCAAAATACTAATAAATGTAGCGTTAGTTTGTGTAAGTCGGATAGAAAATACACCTAGCAGGGAACCTACAATCCTGTTTTGCATTCTCGCAGCCATAGGCAAATGACTTAGATTAGATGAAATGGATTGAGGTGATAAGGGTCCCGCAATCGGTTATCACATCAAAAACAGAATCACTGAGCTTGAATTTTGATTTGGTTTACGCACTTTATCATTGAAAATTGAATTTGGGCCGCCATTTTGYATTATAGCGTTATACAGAGCTCCTCTGAGCGTTATAATACATGTGAGAAAATTAATTATCTTTGAAGTACAGTTACGGCAACAGGTCGTTTGCACTGATTGACTTTCTCTAAAAAAAGTATTTTAGTGGAAACAAGTTCCGAGAGCATCATCTTCTCTTCTCGAGGGTACTTTAATTTCGTGGACAAAGCTTGCAAAACTAGACTATAGATCATTCATAAAAGATGCGAAATATTTCAAATGGCTGAGAAGTTTCATAAAAATTTCATATCAGACGAAAAGAGTTTTGYTTTGAGCTGTTTCTCATAAATGTTTGCTGACATTTTKCCAGCTTGCGTTTCTCATAGTGCCAATTCTCCGGTCTAGTTTTAATCCGCATCTGATTTTGAAAGTCACCACAATTGACACCAGTGTAGTTGAACCCTATAGGGAATGATAGTYGCCTACCGTTCCAGCAACGTTGATGCTCGCTCCTTTGTCCACCAATGCTTTAACGACTTCTAGATGGCCTTTCCTCGCTGCCCACACAAGCGCTGTAGTCCCGTACTAAAAATATAGCAATGACATAAAAAATTAAAGTTCATAAGGAGATTCTGTAGACTTCCACACGCATACAAAGTTCATTTAATATGATTCGTATTTTGTTTTAGTGAATGAAAAAAGAACTAATTKTTAGCAGATTACCAGAAATATACCTAGCAAAGTAGATTAGCTCGGACATCTGGGTCGCTTGAATTTGATATTGTTAGAATGACCAGAATAGAACAATTTGGGCGCGGAAAGATAGATTATGATAAAAATCTAGCCAAGCGTTCCATGTGGGATTCATTATAATTGATGAGAGATAATAATTATTTTTTTATGTCGAGGTTTTGGATAATTAAATTCAGTATCAGAGATCGATTGGCGTGTTACGGACGAYAAAAAGGATGAAATGTGTGCACACCTTGAATAATACATATTTATTATACATATCTATATCATCTGTAAATAAMAAACTAGCTTAGTCGTCATATCTTTCTCTTTTATAAGTACATTTGTAAATTTATTGATGACTTACTTTGTCAGATGAGTCAGCAGACGCTCCAGCTTCAAGCAATTCGTTAACGCATTCAATATGTCCTCTCCCGGATGCCCATATAAGGGCGGTCATGCCATGCTGATGAAAGAAAAAGCAAAAGTCTTATGATATGTTTTTTTGTTTACCGCAGTTACCTCTAGAATTAGAATGCTCGCCCAAGTGGATGGGCGGAGGACCCGCAACACGRAAAGAAGTGGGAAATAAATTTGGACTGAAAACCATGATATAACCACAGATTTAGGAAAAATGCGAGGACAGTTCCTGAGACCTGCAGTTCTGACCACAATTCAAGAAACAAAAACAAAACAACTCAAAGCGTCATTTTTTGCAGCTTTGAAAACAGGTAATTTCTCCTCAACTACTAGAAAAAAATTATTATTATTTAGAGCAATTTTACAGATCAATTTGCGTCTGTGGTTATTATAGAAAAGCAAAGTCGCGTGCGCTCAAGCACTGGGGTAATAAAGCTTTCCTGGTATCAGTCTAAACATGTTTATATAAACAAAAACCACACAAACCCTAAAATGACAATTTTCAAGATACATGAAATAATTCCTGGCCAACCTGTTTCTGCCTTCASAGGTCTGGCAGGCGAAGTACTGTCTGCGTCTCCGAAGTGGAAATGAAAGTTATGTACTAGGATTAAAGTGATCGAAAATCCAAAAGAAATACTCAAATTTGAWATAAAATGTAGTGACACATTTGCAGCCAACACACCGAGCTAAAACTCCTTACCAGATAATAGTCAAAACATAGATTGTTGTGAGCAAATGGTGCTTATGTACAAGTTAGACCRAAACTGATYSAGACTCTCGCTAAATCATCCTCTATGGCCCTTTCCACATCAAACATGACAATTATTCTGTGAATAGGTTGCACAGCAACCAAATTGGAAAATAAAATGCTTAAAATATCAATATTTTTAGTGAAAAAACTCACTCCAAAAAATCGTGTTTAATGTTGGAGATATCATTCATATTCCAGTTGTGGATATCACTGACATAGAAAGAATTAGCGAGCTTCTTTAAGGTATTTATTTATTAAATTTGGCCGGCAGACAGTAAGTCGAAAAGAAGAAGGCAAAACGGCTTTGTCTTGCAGTAACCTACATAAAATATATATTATACGCGAAGAATATTGTGTAGCAAATTTGCATGGATAACCCCTGTAGTGACATAGAACGATGAAATGACGGCAAAACAGGTTGAGTAAAATGTGAAAAAAAAATTTAAGCATTTAAAATGTGGAAATACAACTCGTTAAAAACGCAGAAACTTTATGCGAAAGTCGATTTTTTTTTCTGTGCTAWGATTCCACCTTGCTTGCTCTCCACTTGAAGCGTAATAATTCTGTCGTATTTGCTTTCCAGAATATATAGTTATTTCGAGTATATGTAGTCAAAGCACTTATTGAAAAATATGCTTATTAAAAGAATCAGAATTCAACACAATACAAACTTAATTTACAAGAAAACTTTCGCCAATAAATTGCGTATTYTTTGACCTAATTAAAGTGTAGTGTTGGGATACTGTTATTTTGCCATGAAAAATCAAAGCCATCACGAGTCCTGCAGTGAAACTTCATWCTCAGRTTCAATGAACAAGACGCAAACAGTGGAARTCTGAAAGTCTCACTGAAGTACAAGAGAACTCATAGTTGAGCTACTGTAGGATATAATGAAATTTCAAAGCGATACCGATTGATTTTCGCTGAATGTTTAAATCTTCACATACTATATATAATACTAATAACAGTCACAATACTTGAAGCAAACATATATATTATAAACCGTATACACTCTAAAACAAATCAAAACCAAACCARAGGCGGTCGATCATACACTTTCCTAACGGGAAACATCTTGAAGTAACAATTACAGTTACTATCTCGATAAATAAACATTGATACTGCGCGGAAAAGAATTCCCCRCGAAGCTGATACCTCATTGAGCGAATATTTGTTTATACATACTTGGTGGAAGCATGGAAATTTCCATGTTTGTCGAGACACCTGCAGATAGCTCTCTGCTTGTGAAATTGTAATCAATCTAGMACAMTTTTCAAGCTGTTTCTATGAGAAGAATTTACTTTTCTCCACAAGACTGTGTTTAGACCCGCTTCACCTGTCGCGGCGAAGATTTCACAATGACTTTCCAGTGAAAGCTGGAACTAGCCACTCACAATTCAGTAACACAAACMKTCTTCATACATATGGTCAAGATCACTGTCAGGGCMAAGTGCAGTCTGAAGGTGGACTTTGTTGAGACGAATCGATAACCTTCAAGGTAACTAGAATTTAAGGTCTTCCATTGAGGAAATGTTATGTCTGCTAAATATATGCAGGTTTATTTTGCTTGCATTACATCAACGCACCAAGTTCAATAAGAAATTCAAATGAAAGGTGAAGCTAAGTGGTCGTATCTGACAGGTTTAGCGTTAGGTCTTCATAAAAAGCAAAGGAAAAGGCAATTAAGACTTTAGATTGCATGAAAGGAAAACAGAATTGTCATATATAGTAATTAGTATTTGACGACAGTGACCGTATCTGATAAAAAATTGAAGACGAAACAACTTGTTTCCAGAAGGAAAATACATAAAGTGCTGATAATTTTCTTTAAATCACTCGCGTACATGATGAATCCATTATGAATCTGATAAGCAAAAATAGCAAAAAAATGGAACAATGGCCAAAAAAGGTTCTTTGTGGTTGCATTTCGTGTTGTGGCCAAATCGTGGTTGGTAGCTATTTTAAATCAAACCATCCCGACTAATTTTTTTAAAAGTGGGAAAGAAAAGACGATTCTGATTTTTTAAAAAGAAGTACCATGAGAAACTAGAAGTCATTGCAAAAATGGCACTAAAAAAAATCACCGTACAGAAGAAAAACCTCTAATATTAAAAGAGACTACTAAAAAACTCACCACCGCACAGACATTGTCTTCCATAGCAATTCTTTTAAAGCGTGCTAAATACGCATATAATAAAATTAAATCCAGACAGTTTGCGATTTTCAATATTCTCACTTTTCACGGTCTGCGTGGAAATAAGATTTGACAACTTTCAAAAACCAACCTGTCCCTTTTCGTTTGGGTCGGCACCATGGTCTAAAAGCKCTTTGACTATTTGTCCATGACCTTTGTAAGACGACCATACCAGAGGCGTCCAGCCACCCTGTCAATCATCAAACAATCAAAATCATTGGCTGTTTAAAATATGAGGGGTGTTACCCCTAAAACTAGTTACGAAGTAATGAGTGTAATGTAAAATCAGATTTCCCTACATAGAAATTTCTAAAACCGAGTAATAAACAAAATTTTATTTGGCTAGAAATTTCGACAACATAAAGGAATGATAGGTAAAAAATGACGATGTCTTTTGTTTTGCATTGGGCTCYCTGTGTTATGTACCATACACTCACCTGCCTAAAACATTAGTATTCAAACAAGAAAAAAGCAACAACAAAGAAAACAAGAATGCAATATCTCATCCAAACATATTTTCAATTTTTTCACTTCGTTTTTAATGAGGTTAAAAAATATGGGTTTCCTGTGTTTCAAGAAGAACGTTCAACCCAGTCTTCTCACAAATACCGCGCGAGTTTGCAGTGACGGTGTTGTGATCGAAAATGAACGTGTTTGGCTTGGAAAACTGGCAAAAGACAAATCCTAGCTGTATTTTAAGAGGAACAGTAATACAAGGTACACTTTGTGACCATGAGTGAAGGATAGAAAGAAAGAAAGCTCTTACATAGTTAAGTTAATAAGCTTATTAAACGTGATTTTGTAATAATCGATGTTTCCTAAGAAATAGGCAATATTAAGCTTATAGTTCTATATACGATCRGAATACAGAAGTAATGATAATTATGACGGTTCTCTCATGTAAGAAATAGTCTCAGTAACTCATGTATGTAAGTACATGGCATTGAACACAAGTACATTTTTGGTATCTTGAAGGGTCATGGTATACCGGCATTCATTGCGGGCGTCTGTTAGATTTTTCCTACAAATATCCATTTGCAATCTGTTTTCATTTTTTCCTCAGATCTAAAATCAAATCTCACTATATTTTATTTAAAGGAAATAAACGTTGTAGTAAAGAGTCGATTTTTGATTATATATTGTTTTCACTACACATTTCAGCGGCCATCTTGGACAAACTTCAACAAAGGATTTCTAATAAGTATCTATTGTTCATTCCTCCAATATAGCTGTCAGTTATAAGTATTATCTTTTGAATCTCATTGGGATGGTTGAAAATGATCAATAATTAGAAAATTACTTTTATTTTCAAATTAACATAATTAACAAAAGCTAGAAAAGATACTAGTTGACAATGAACCTTAAAGGTCTCTAATATCTGGGTGTCTACAAAGTGRCAGTTCAAAGRGTACACTAGRGAATTTTCACTTACCAAATCAGCCAATTGTATTTTAGCACCATATTCCAGTAACTCTCTCACCACCTCCTCATGACCTTCCTTACATGCTGCAATAAGGGCTGTCCATCCATCCTGARATAAGAATTGAAATTGAATTATTATTATCTTCTATTAAGGTCTCYCGCTCATATTTTATTAAAGAAACTATTCTACATATTAAATTTAACCRTCATGCTAATGTGCAAAATTTTGAAAACAAATATTCATACTGGGGTGCCCACATACTGTTATTCCTTCTGGAAAGAATCCAGGACCAGGAGGAAATATTTCAGAAAAAAAGAAAGAAAAAAAAAGAAAAATATTGTCAAAGTAGCTACAAATCTGCCTTTTTTCCAAAGATACATGAATCGGCTCAGGTGTACCCTCTAAAAGTCATCTATTTTGAAATTTCACTGTAAGAATTTTGTTGAATGTCTTTTTTAATGTCTAGGTGATTGAAATAACAACTTCATACATACATTATCTTGAGCATTTACATCAGCATTTCGTTTTAGGATTTCATGTACTATGGCAACATTTCCTTTTTCTGCAGCTATGATAAGGGGGGTTTGGCCATTCTGAAATAACAACAAAAACAATAAAATTTTTATCCAACATATTTAATTTCATATTTATACTCTTATTACTTAGATTTTACAGTTGTTGCATTGGCTAACTGTGATAAATGTCTGATACACATGATACAGTAATAAGATGAGTGATATATCATTTATTACAAACAAGTCATGAATAATAACATAATCTTCTATTTCCTCCAGCCTCATAACTTTCATATAATATAACTTTACATTATAGACAAATTTATGTAGCTATAGTGTGCCACTTTTTAAAGATTATTTTAGATGACAAAACAGTATTAAATCTTCAAAACTCATGAATTACTCATTAGACATTCTTCCAATTCAATGGTGGAAGAGGAAGTGGCTCAAGGCAGTATTAATCGCCAAGAACGGAAAAACACAAGGCCAACTTGTTTTTTAAATATCACATATAATCAAATATTTTGGAAGGAATAAATTATCAAATGAAAAAATATTTTGTTAGCATCGGTTAAATTTACATCAGGTACAGGGCTTAAAATAATTATAATTATTTAAAATATGAATAATTTATTATTTGTTACAACATTTGCTTGAATCTCATAAAATGCAATTTTTATATAGAATTTTTTTGACTATAAAACTTAACTGTAATTAATAAATACAATCATAAAGTAATTATTCAAATCTTTATAAATCACCTGGTCTTTTTGTTCAATGTTGATRCCCTTATTTTCCAACAAATTCAACACTTGTGTACAACTGCCGTCTTCTATGGCATTTATCAAGTTAACAGAGTCATTCATTGGAATCTGGAAGAATTAAGTCATTTATAAGTAAGGTCCTTGAAAAGTTTTTACCATTTTGGATGATAAATTTGTATGAACCATGCTTTTGCGGSCAACTGGTTAACAATGTTTGTATTCTATGATATGTATCTTAGAAGCTTTTGCCATCAACAGCATCATCACAGATAATTAAGAAAACATTAATCAAACAGACTCAATATTGTAGTCATAGTAGACAAAGCAATCAAGCTCTGATCATATACTAGATAAAAACATCTTTACCAACAGTAACTCATGGCCACAATATTCCACTTTCGAATTCAAAGACAGTAACTGCTGTTTACTTAACAGCAAATTCTCTTATGCAAAAACATTACCAAACACAAAATGTAGCACGAGAAAATGTTGAAAGTACAGTAGCTCTAACAATTTACATTTTCCCCAAGTTGAGGCTAACCCTGTATTCCCAGAAGGCTTAAACCTAGGTCTCATGGGAATTAACAGGGTTAGTCTCAACTCAGAGAAAAATGCAATTTTTCAAGGCTATTGTAAGAATGACATTTTCTTGTACTTTCTTTAGTTTATTGTAAGGTCTTGGCGCAAGAGAATCTGTTGTCAAAATAGAAGAAGTTGTTCGCTTTGAATAAATCTGCATGTTTATGGTTTTAACACCTTTTTCACTATCATTATCTAAAATAATAAGGTCAGAAATTCTCCATATTAACATTTTGGCTATATAAAGCTGAACAGCACTTACCCTTGAATTAGTAGCTTTGTATTGAGATTGTGGAAGAGCTTGTAATAATATTTCACTCTCAGATTGTTGTCTTGACCCCCAAAACCATACTGATGTAGATTGCCTTAGTAGTGTGATAAACCGTCTTTGTGCATATCGAACAACGCTGTGCCTTGGTCTAAAAAAAAGGAACTGATGCTAAATACACATACATATATTTAACGAATAGATTCCATTTTTCCCTGTGTCTGTAAGCTGATAGGTATATATATGTACAATGTATGATGTGAAAATATGACGAAAACAAAAAAGTATGCCATGAGATGAAGTCAAGTGGTGTGACTATTGTTCACATCTTATTTTGACATCTTCTGTGTCTCTATGGAGTACAGACACACAGTAAAATGGAATTTAGAAATTTTTGCTATTGTTTTTACCAATTCATTCCCAGGCCACAAGGTGGCTTTGACTCTTAAAATGAGGTGACTTTCTTTCCATGTCGAAAGTTTTATTTCATTGGAGGTTAATAAACAAAACTGTTATTGAAGCTAAMATGCCTTGATTTAGTGCTTAAAGGTCACGTAAAAGGTCAAGTGAACAAATCAGACAAACAAACAAAAAACACACACAACAACTTAGACTTTTCTTTAGTTCTTTGAGGTCTCAGTGAAGCAAATTTCTATGAGAAAGTTTTACTCATGATAGTTTTAATTCCAATACGTATGCAAGTGTTTCAAATAATTATTGCTCTTAGACTACATTACATTTATCTATTATTTGGAAAGAGATAGTTTTGCCCCTGGGATATGAACTCGGCACTCCTGGATCAAGTCATTAGACATGCAGTCTGGATTATCTAACCCAAAGGTACTTTTGATTGGCTAAAATTATGCTTTATGAACCAGAAAGATATCTATAGGTCAATTACTTTTGAGGGAACATAATTGTGGCTTTATAACCATCACACTGCCAATATACCTCATATGTTACATCATATTTTATCATCTTTTTTTTCAATTTCATTAATCAGAATATTTCCACAAGCAGTCTAAATATCTACACTGTCCTAAAGCATGTCAAGGGCGTTCTGAAGCATGTCAAATAATTGTGGCTTTATAACCATCACACTGCCAATATACCTCATATGTTACATCATATTTTATCATCTTTTTTTTCAATTTCATTAATCAGAATATTTCCACAAGCAGTCTAAATATCTACACTGTCTTGTGTTTATCACAATAATCTTTATATTATATTATACTGTAGCTCCTAGCCACACCTCTAACTCCAATATTAAATTTTGTACATAATATTAATTTTACAGTTGCAATAGTCTGATGGTTTTAATATTGTTATAATTATAGTTTACAACATGAGTGGCCAAGTTATATTGGAATTTCAATCTCAAGCCAAAGGGGAGAGATTGTAATTCCTATTCACAGATGCAAATGTTCATATGACCCGTTTCTGTTGTATTTGATACACGTGTAGTTACTCTAAGTTTTTTCCTAGTATTGAGTTAAGTCGCTACTAAGCATGCACAATTTACTGCAATAGTTTATATTTATATATTGTGATTAATTATCTATCCCACATTGAGAGCATGACATTTGTTGCATAACCTTAAGCGTCGGATGCCACCTTTCTTTGTTCGCTTCAAAACCTGGTGAAGGTTTATAGATGCCACATTAAAACTGACACCTTTTCTAGTGTCAGGATGTCTATGCTAGTGGGGACTGGGGCACSCTGTACAACTAGCACTCTATCACATTACAAGGTTAATCACCTGACCAAATGGACAGCCCTAATTGGACTAACAACTCATGAATTTTTAATAAGTTTTATAATTTTGTATATAATTATATATTTACCAAATCTCACAATAAACTATTCAGACTAAGCTAATGCTGCATCTATTATTCCATTTTCCTTTTTTTCCTTTTTCTCACTTTTCATTCAACCCACATGATGAAATGACTCTTAACTTCAACATATTACGTAACCACATCTCTGCAAACTGCAGATTTTCAAAGCCGTACAGTGATTGTCAACCTAGTACTTTTACTGGAGCAAYTTGTGTTTTTCTTTCACTACAACTGTACTTATGATATTATAACGAAGCAGAAGTAGCTCTCTTTAACAATTAACAGTATGCAAATRTCTTAAAATCCACTTAATTAATGCCTTAATGTAATGTTTATATTTGCTAGTGCCGTAAAAATTGGYAAAAATAACGTTCTTGTTGCCAACTGCTTACTGTCACAAAAATATTTRTAAAAGCTACCAAAACATAAGATATAAATCATTTCTATCTAAATATTTGTACTATTTTGTTGTCATGACTATAAGATTACTACTATTATTATTATTATAAACAGTCAAAACAGTCTTATCAAAATCATTGCTCTGACAAATCAACAGAATTTCTATTTTAACAGCAAAATTTATAAAAATATMAGATGTTTTCCCAACCATTTTGTTTTGCAGGAATCCAGAAAGCTTATCTCAAATCCTCATCTGACATTTTTGTTATGCAAAAAAGGAATTCTTTATCAAAATGATCTTTCAAATATTATTTAACCAAAAATAACTATGACTATGCTAAACCAGAAAGAAAAGTTCAACAAATCCCTAATGTAAAATCAGTATATGCAATTAAAATTCCTGTTTTTTTACTGTTTAAGCCCAAAAGGGATTCATAAATTATATTTTAAATCAAAAATTRAACACAGGAATTAGTTGATGAACATTTCAGCAGCCTTTCAAAATGTCAAGTGAGTCATAATAATGATTTTAGAAGTATAAAGTCACAGTATTTATAAATGATTTATATGTGTGCCATTTTGTTTACTTTGGTCCGAGATAGACGGGATTTTGTACAAGACCATACAACATTTGGTCACAGTGATTATGACGCTTTGTTTTTGAATGCATGCAGTCTTTAAAGAGATATTTGAGATACACCTGTATGTTATTAAACACAATACAAAAACACCAGAAATATGTGCTAAAAACCTAAAGTTATGAAAATTCAATGAATCGAATGATACATCATGTCTATGGTGTAACAAATCCGAAAAACACCACCTAAAAGCCTCTTAGTTATAGCTTGGATAACAGTATTCACAACATTAGCTCTGTTCATCTGATATCGATACACTTTCAATAAGTTAAAGTATTCAATAATATGTCAGCACTAACCTGAAATCCATCGGAAAGTACTTGAAATTTGACAAAATTATCCAAAATAATGTGAAATSCTAAAGMTCTTCCTTGTGTCTAATATGATTTGATAGCAGATGAAACATTCAAATGCAGCTACTTCAGTTGAAAGAGTCAAATCAATTGAGCTAAACTAAACGTCTACAGTACAAGGTAAAGTTTTGCATCATTTATTACAAATATAAAGTCAAGCTGTTCCCTTAATTAGTGAGATATAGGTGTGGGCAATGGACTGGGTGGTGATTAAACCTGCTCCAATGAYGTTTCACTCCGCCAAACATTTCTGCACTTAATGGCACTCAAGRGAAAGCATATTAAACTTTAAGAACAGGATTTTCTGACATCATTGGGTGATTTACATGGCTTATCTCTATATCATAGATTACACAAGCAACTTTCTCTGTGGAATTAATTAAAAGACAGGAAAAAGAAAGAATTATGAAAGAAAACATTCTAAATTACATTTGTTAAGGAATGATATCATAAACACGAGAAATGAATATAAATAAAGTCTSTTATTATACTAATGAATATACAAGATGAATTACAAATTACCACAGAGCATTGTATTTAACGTTAAGTTATTTGATCTAAAGTAAGTCTGCATTTTTGTACAGTCTAGGAGTGACGCTACTCTGAGTTAGCCATTTGTGTGAACCCATCATTGAAGAATATATAAAATATAAAAACAAATGCACATGGATTATGCATCATGAATTATAAATAGCAATGTACAATTTTATGACATATCAGCAATCATTGACAGAAGCCAATACATAACTTCTATACAAAAGATAATACAAATTTACAATGATGTCGAACATATTATATGTAAAATGTAAATGTAATATAACGTTACTTAAGCAGATATTTTTAAATAGCAATGCAAAATTTTATGACATATCAGCAATCATTKAAAGAAGCCAATACATAACTTCTATTGCAAAAGATAATACAAATTTACAATGATGTTGAACATAATTATAAATAAAAGTGTAATATAACCTAAGATATTATAAAATACGCCCACGGCATCCAATACCCTTTGCAATCGTTTGTTTTGTTTTATTTAAATGGTCTGTCGTTGAAAGTCGCTTCCTTATATTGTTTAAAAATCAAAGATGGTGATTTCTCTTGGTATGTATGAAAATTGTGCAAAGGTGCATGCACATAGATGCACATGGGACTTTAGTRTGTTTTTTTAATTGTAGATTACTAAAGTTAGTAAAAATTATGATGGCATATCAACGTCTTGACACAAGATRGACACACTTGTGTCTGCTACTCAAAAGTAATCAAATCTAAAGYACCTTATTATGGCAATTTCATGTTTAAAATCACTTAAACCAAAAAAAATACATTATAAATTAAAAAAAAAATGGAAAATTTCCCATTTATCCAGCATAAATAGCCWACTCTACTGTGCAATATCAAAAAATGAGATATCAAAATAATGGGAAAATCTCATCATCTTGTGAAAATATAATATAAATTATATCTGACAGCAGAATTTAATTGAAAGTAAATAATAACAAYGAGCAATTAAAAAATTGAAATGTGGGAAAAATCTCAGTTTATTTTCTCAATTTGATTAAACTTTACCATCACAAATAAATTATTGGAATATGAAAAATTGAAATATGTGAAAACTGCCTTGACCTGGGTTTTTAGCAATGTCTGAACAGGAAACCAAAAAATATACAATTTTATTTGAMATAGATGTATTCTTTCCTTTGGAGATGTCCGGTTCCACAGRGCGCATAACATKTACCTGGGATGCAGATTCTTCCTAAGTTAGTATCAGATATCRTTTCAGAATGCATACGATTATTCTCTAGMGGATGGCGAATTTWTAATAAATTCTCGGCARCATTCCGTRTTTCAATAGCACAAAAGTCAGACCGTTTTACATGCAAGCGGCGTAATAATAAGCTCCTAACTCTTATCATTATAATATTTCAAATGCAAAGACACATTTACTGTCGGATTTAAAAATAGAAAAACAAAATCAATGTGACTCCAAGCCGACTAACCAGGGGACCATCAATGACGACAAAACAAAAATAAACACGGCTTTTCCTGGGTCGTAATTACTAGGACAGAAAATCTTCCTTTCTCGGTTGGCTCTGTCAACAAACTGCCAATTTATCTGCTATCATTTCGAACCCTTTTGAGATATGTTTTCTGAATGTAAACAAAACAGCTAGCTTTCAACTCAAAAGCAACAGTGCAATGTTAAAACTCTCTCGATGTATCTCGATGGAAATAGGTCGGTTTTAAGCCGCGATCAAAGAAGTTTGAGCGGGAATTTTCGCTCACAGAGCACTATGTATGTGTCATATTATGAAGCCTCTGTATAGGAAGGAAGCGTCAAGGATTTGATACATACAACTTATAGAGCACTGTCTGTACAAATAATGCTTGTACTTGAGAAATCCTTTTGAAAGACCTTATTCGTTTTACATGTTATTTCTAGTGGCTGACTCGAGAAAATATCAATCGCGATAAAATGCTGAGGGTAAAGAGAGAAAATCCGGTGTTAAGGCCGTATGGATTATATTATATGCTGTTGACAAGAATCGTCAAATTGGACTTCAATCGATGAAAACCTACGGCCGCGTTTTTCGTAATTTATTGCTGGTCGTTTAAAAAAATCATACCTGGGTATATCAGTGGACAGTTATCTTGGTTACCTTACATCTCTTAAATTTTATATAGCACCCTTAAGTAGACAAAATGGATTTGTTTGTCTTGCCATCAGTGGCGATCATACTTTTGAATAGGTAAAGGTTACTGACAAAGAACATTGCGAATGTAACGTCTTTTCCTGGACCGCTTACAATCGAATTAAAGCACGCTATTGATTTCGAAATCAGCTCTTTACGAAAAGTGAAATCGCCAAGTTTATAGTCAACTTATGTACGAGGATCAAATACAATAAACTTAACGGGCTGCGGGGAAGTCTCTGGCAATGCAACGAGGCTTGCCGCAGAACACAAACTACAGCTGAAACCCAGTCGGTGTAATCTTTGCACTAAAAAGCAAACACTTCGACAGAAAATTGCCAAAAACTAAGATTACCTGATTATTTGGCACACATGTCTAAGCTAAACATTATATCACTTAAAAGTACATACAAATTGGCGAACGGGGATCACCAGATTCCCTCTGTACAAGTACGTCTGTGGCTGTATCAATAACTCGACCTGCACAGGTGTATTCTATACAGATGTTGAACAAGAATCAACTCGTAAAATATATATTACACTCCAAACGGACGGTGCTTTCAAGCAGTTYGGATGAACAAGCGGACATCATCTATAACACTTCGAGCTGGTAGTGACAACTGAACGCCACACATGCGCGTTTGTTGCTAAATTAATAATTCACAGCCCAGAATATTAAGATTCATTTTCACCTCTGCCGATAGCTCACTCGCTGTTCAGTATTTCCGCGGCAGTTGTTGTGCGGATTTTTAAATCGTTCGTACAAAGCTTTCCTTAGAAAACATCTTCAATTCTTAACCCTAATAGACGAGGTTTTGTTGCTTTATTTAGATTGAGTGATAGTTTTGGCTTGTGCTGAAAAAGGGGTTTCCAGCATGATGTTTGTGGCCAGAGGCACAGTATTTGAACCATTATCGATCTGCGTAGGCAAACCTAGACATTTTACTGTACCCTTTTAAGRCTATTGTTCTTACGTATAATTAAGCCATGTATTCTTTGCGCACCGGTAAAAAATGCTTTTTTTCTTACGATTTTTAACCTCCACTCATGTCGAAGTGGTAGTCCTAAAATCGAGTGCAAACCGGTGCCTCGTAGTCTCTCGTCTTGTCGATCTATTTTCAAATTTTTAAATTTTGAACACCTTTATTTTGGCAATTCACCGGAGGCCAGGAGCCGACTTAAAAAGTATCAAAAAAGGGGAAAAAAGCGTTTAAAAATTTAGCGCTTCGCTTAGTGAGATTATTCATAATGAGGTAAAAAAGACAGAGGGATAGTAAAATTACTCGCGTTAAGAAAARAACGTCTGCTTTTGTTTTGAAAACGGTGTTTTATTTACATTCGTGATGTATTTCTTCCTGTTTTGGAACGCGTTCCGATGGAATAAASCASGTTATGGGTTTGATTTCTAGAGCCCACAAGAAAATCCTCGTTTGACTGCTTTGCACACAAACAGCGGGTGACGAAGAACGAATTATTTGCCTGTGGAGTCCCCCTACAGGTCATCGAGTTCGGCTCTTTTTCAGTTTCTCCCCTTTTTACTATGCACTTGAAGAAAATCATTGACAACATCATAAAACTGATTTTCTTTTTCATTGTGAAATATGTGTGTATTGGATATTTGGAAGAAATATCCAACGCGAGACTAAGAATTTTTTTTTCCAGAAAAAAAAACACTGACTCATGAATATTTCGTGCTGAAAGCTAACAGGTCCTCAATAAAAAATGTTACCGCAAAGAGCTAAACATGTCAGTGAGAAATCCCAATAAAACATGGTAAACACAACAGTTTGCGTTACTCCGGCTCAAACAATCTAAACTGTATTACTTCAAGCAATGATAAACAAACAAAGATTTGATTATTGCTGGATATCAATGAACATGACCACGCGACAGGTCGGTTAAACGATGGCTCATCACTCGGGATGGTTTTGGGACAGCGTCTCATGACGCATGATTGGGTCACTATTCGGAACGTTGCTCTATTCTTACACACAAAAAAGCACAGCAATTAACGCGCCAATTAAGCAAACTATAGCCATCGTCTTTGGAGAGGATGAATTACATTTCAAACCGACAAAGACATTGCTGTTAGCTTTAGGTAGCGGACTCAAACGTTTCTATTTGATTAGTCTCTCTTATGAATATTTTGAATATTCATGTTGGCTAACGTGCGGCGTTTCTACTAGAAAAACAATATACGATTAATATTGTACGTATTTTCTCTATTCTCGCCCATAATGAGTCTTAAGCATTTCATCGCTGCTTTGTCAGCACGAAAAACACTGAATAAAGCGCACATCGAGACGCGCAAAGTTTACCATAAATAGTCACGTTTCAAAAAATAAAAAAAGCTTGATTTGTTCCACAAAGCTTTCCATATTTTCACAACTCTATGATAAATTTTGCGAATTTTAGTCACAACTTAAGCAAAAATTTAATTATGAGACCCAGACTAAGAAAAAAAAATGCAGTTTGCACGCGACAGACGACTATTATCTGTGAGAGCCTAACAAATGTGATAAATCAGTGCTTACCATCCTATGTGAAGTTGAAAGAATTTGTGAACGATTTCAAGAGATACATTTGACGCATTTGACATGATRTGTGTAACTTCCGTTTGACTTGTCCACAAGACTCTATAACGACTTTAAGTCATGCAYCGATCATTGTCCGAGAATCTATTAAAATAGTAATTGAAATTTGTCACATTCATTGACTTATGACGTGATTGAAGAAAGTTACATCATTAGGAACGACCTCTGTGTGAAACCGAAAATATCTCAATTTATACCAGTATACTCAATTATTGTAACCATAGCCCATGATATTTATGACCATTATTTGCAATAATAGAAGAAACTGGCTTTATATAATGCATTCATGTCTGTGTCTGGTTGCRCGGCTGTAGATTCTACATTGAAGAACATTTATCAGCTTTTCCATCCATTGCATGTCTAGTTAATTAACCTCACCCATTTTTATCTAACCGCAATTTTTCTCGATACCAGGATAATGGCATTRTTTTCCATTTTAATCGAGACTTTTTTCATGTTTTTTATGGTGGTAAGCCTTTTTCTGCTTGAGGCGGCACTTGTAATTAGGTGGCATCCATACAGTAGATGTTATGGTTTTAACCACACATACAGTGACATTACTAATAAAAGTACTCAGTAGCGCCGCCACAGGTAGCCCAAGCAACCTTTTGTTGATGTCACGTCAAAAAGGAGAAAATTTATAAGACGTTTCGGAGACATACTGACCTCATTATCAAGGATTAATTAACAACTAAAACAATTATTTTCCCTCGTAAATGAAAAAACAAACTTTTTGCAAGATGGGTCTAACTCTACAACAATAACCAGAAAACCTTGCCCATTTTCATTATTATTCAGTTTCTTAATCCCTTTCAGTGGAAATTAGTGAAAGATCTGTGGAGCATACCAATACATGCCGATGAACCACCCCCACACGGAGCGGAAAATCAAGGGTGGAGAACTTCACTATACTGGGTGCACAGTCCGCAAGGCTTAGKGAGCAAAAACCCTTGGTGACAACTACAGGTCCTGCGAATAACAGAAGTGAAGCAAGGACTACAACAAGAGATATGAAGAGAGCCATACGGAAATACCAYRGACATWACAACTCAAAACCGTGCGCAATTTTGTTAATATATCACACTKTTACTGAAATGATAGTTAAAATCATACACATCTTTTTTATCGCCATTTGTTTTCTACGTAAAGACATCGAGATTTTGTAATGCCTTAGAACTATAATGATAATTATGTAATGTATATCATCATTACCCAAGTATCCTTTTGTGAATTACCTACATGCAGCGAGATTCGCAATTATTTTTTGTTAGAAAAAAAAACATGGTTTTCAAAAATCTTGTTCTTAAAATGTTTCATAAATTTCTCATCCATGAACAGTACTGAATACMACGAGACCACTTGACAACTGATAGAATTATGACTGATCACCAACATAAAATCATTTTTATAAAGTCATGACACCCTTTTCATGTTATAAAAACTTGCTGAATTTA